CTGATTTATCACAGCATAGGTGCCTTGGTGGGTTATACCTTCTTGTTCTTCCTTTATTGTAGGAAGGATCTGCAGCATACATAGATGACAGGCTTCCTTCATCACCTTGGATGTTTGAGGTCCTTCTAAAACCATCACCTTGGGTCCTTGAAGTCCCCTTAAAATGTGCCCCTTTCCCTTGAAGTGGAATTCCATCTGTAACTCCTTGAAATTCCATTTGTTAGTACCCAAAGTACTCAGCCACTGCACACCTAACACCATATCACAGCTGCCCAAGGGAATCAAAAACATATCTGTGCAGAAATCAGTCCCTTGCAACCTCCATTTAAAATTTTTACACATATGTTGACATTTCAGAGTACTACCATCAGCCACAGTGACTGGTTGCAAGGATATGGATTCCACTCTACATTCCAACTTCTTGGCTAACTCAATATTTAGAAAATTATGAGTGCTGCCCGAATCCACTAAGATTTGGATGGCTTTCTTACCGACATGGCCAGTAACTCTCATAGTTTGGTAACCTGTGATGCCATTGACAGCATGAAATGAGATGCAAGGCTCGGTCTCTAAAATTTCAAACTCATTGTGACCATCCAAAAGTGCCTCTTCCTCGTCATTTGCTAAATCATCTCCTGGAATCTCAACTAGAAACAATTGAGTTTTTCTGGTTTGGCACTTATGACCTTTCTCATAAGGTTCATCACAGAAATAACATAATCCTTTAGCACCTTTCTCTGCTCTTTCTGCTGCAGATAAGATCCTGGTAGGCCTGAAACTTCTAGCTGTGCTAGTAGTTGAACTAGTCTCGCTGTTTGCAGAATTTTTATATCCAGTCAAGGAACTATTACTGTTGTAACTTGCAGCTCCCTTGGGTGTAGGTAATATGCCTCCTGAGGATGTTAACCTCGAAGATAAAGGTTTAGACATGTTCCTGGTAGCTTGTAATGCCTCCTCCTGTAGTCTAGCAAACTGAACAGCTTCATCCAATGATTGAGGTTTTAAGGCTTTTACAAATGGCTTTATGTGAGATTTTAAACCACCAACAAAGCTATCTACAAAGTATTCTTCAGGAAGCATGGGAGTTCTCTGTAACATTAAAGCCTTCAACTCCTCATCTTTCCAAATATGCATCAATAGTTCCTTCTTGACTCCATTTATTGAATTCTTCCACAACCTTACTGTCAAGTTCATCTTTAAATCTTCCACACAAGTCAAAAATGAACTCATCCCAGCCAATTCCCTTTTTGACCGTAATATAGCTGGCAAACCATGTTTCGGCTTTGCCTTTTAAATGGATTGAGGCCAGATCTAACCTTTGTTCCTCTGGAATTTTACAAAGGCTAAAGTATCGAGCACACTTCTTAATCCAGTTCCTCGGATTAGATCCATTAAACACCGGAAATTCAACCGTAGGTACAAACTTGAAAGGATTCTTCTCACCTCTTTCCATTCCGGTGACTTCTGAGTTGCATCTGTGTTCGTTGCTACTGGATTTCTCCATCATCTCCATTATCTTCTCCAGCATCTTCTGTTGCTCCTCAATTTTCTGGTTCTGCAATGCCAATTGTTGCCACTTAGGTCCCAATGTTTTGCTTAGAAAAGCTAAAGGATGATTTTCTTGCATTAAGACAGCTCCAATTCCATAAGCAGAGGCATCAGTTTCCACAACAAATGTCTTTGCAAAATTAGGAAAACCTAGAACTGGGGCGGTGGTGAGGGCAGTTTTCAATTCCTCTACAGCTTGTGTAGCTTCAATGCTCCAATTGAAGTGACCCTTTTTTAATAATTGTGTTAAGGGTTTGGCAATCAGTGCATAATTGATACAGTTGTCACGTGTATCATGGCGGTTGGGGATTTGTTACAAGTTAGTTACGAGTTGATGTTGTGTAACCCCCTATAAATACCCTAATATCCTCTGTAATAATCATGATGAATAATACAATTCCCCTTTCCTGTCTCTTTCGTTCTCTTTCTCTCTCTCTCTCTAATCTGCCTGCGATCAACTGTGTTGATCGCCATAGCTCATCCTCGAGGATCTCTTTCTTTCTACGAGTATCCTCCTGCATTGACGCTATCAATGGTATCAGAGCCAACTCGGAGTGGTGGCCTACGGAGTGGTGGCCCACAGAGTGGTGGCCTGGTGAAACCAGTCGTGACCAACGTGGCCGTGACCAACGTAGCCGTGACCAACGAGGACGTTGGGCCTTATGGGGGGGTCGAATGATACGGACTGATTTCATTATCCCACACCGGTTATATGGGGGACTTGGTCATGGGTTTATATAGCCAAGGGTTCTCCCACCTTATCAGCTAGCTTTTAGGGTGTGGCTCTCCCTTGTGCTGTATCACGCAGCCATTCCGCCCGTCCGTCATCAGCCAGCCTGTCGAGCAGCTGACCTCCATCCGTCGACAACAGCCCGTCATCAAGTCTTCATCGTTCAGCAAGCCTCACCGGTGTGTCACTTGTCTGATATGTTCGTCTGTTGAATTTGGGGTTCACATTTAAGTGAGCAACCCCTCCTCACCGATCCATCTTCAGAGACCAAGCAATAATTGCAGCAGCAATTCCACCAAAACTAAGCTCAATTACAATTGTTCGGGAATAGCTTTAAAAAAACCTCTATTTGTGTTTGGTGTGGCCTATTTACATATTATTTTCCATCAATTCTTTCACAGAGTTGTATTCGTGTGGCTAAACATTACAATGTCTTCTTACTCTCTTGATTGGTTGATTGCCAGTGGAGCCTCTCATCATATGATAGGTCTTCTCTCTCTTTTGTTTAAAATCGAGCAAGTATTGCCTTGCTCTATTAGTCTTCCGAAACTGATGGTTCACGAGTGGAAGCAACCCAACAAGGAAGCGTTTGCCTGTCATCATCTTTAGTCCTTGTTGGAGTTAATGTTTCAAGCCTCCCCTCCCATTGATTTCTGGGGTGAATATGTCAAAACAGCAGTGTAACTTATCAAGCGAACCCCCACGAAACTATTGGGAGGTAAGTCCCTTCTTGAAATTTTATCCTCAAAACCACAAGATCTCAATCACCTTTGTGTATTTGGTTGTTTGTGCTACGTTCGTCGTGTCCCTAAACCACTAAATAAATCTGAACCTCGTAGTCTTAAATGTGTCTTCATGGGTTATCCTTTTGGTACAAAGGGATGGCATGTGTATGATCTTGACAACCATCGTTTCTTTCATACACGTGACATCTCATTCATAGAGTTTGAATTTCCATTTGCCATTCCTAAAACCGCACCCGTTTCTCAGCCTTTATGTCGTCCGTCACCGGCGGATCCGCCCAGTTGTTTCCAGTCTCTCCGCCGGAGTCAATTCTGCAGGGCCCCACCGTCGTCCCCTCTTTTCAGATCGGTCATGTTTCTGGTCAACCTTTTTCCTCGTCTCAACCATTGGAGCAGGGCGAACCGTCTCTCTCGTCAACAAAAACTCCAGCCGTCCCTGCTATTTCGACTGTCCCTCCTCCTTAAAATCCTCCAAAGGACCATCGTCCTCCTCTCGTGTCCAAGACTATATCCTTCACCCTGCCCAGATTTCTTTTGCACCACCATCTCGCACCAACTCTTTGTGTTCAGGTACACGGTTTCCGATTACTAACTTTGTTTGCTATGATCGATTACATGGTAGGTATAAAGGGTTCCTCGTTGCGGTTAATGCAGCAAGTGTCCCTAAGACTTTTAGTGAGGCTGCTTAATTTGCTTCTTGGCATGAGGCGATGGCCCAAGAACTCTTGGCGTTGGAGAAAATTGCACATGGGAAATCACTGATTTACCTCCTCATCGTCACGCTTTGGGTTGTCAGTGGGTTTATAGAACGAAGTTTTGTTCCGATGGTACTAAAGAGTGTCACAAAGAACGGCTTGTTGTATTGGGCAACCATCAAGAGTTTGGTGTGGACTACTCAGATACCTTTGCTCCAGTGGCCAAAATGGTCATAGATTGTGTTCTATTATTTGTTTCTGTTGCTAGAAACTGAGAGGTTCATCAGTTGGATGTAAAGATGTAAATAATGCTTTTCTTGTAATCTGAGGGAGGAGGTTTATATGAAGTTGCCACCCGGGTACACATCTCATCCTTGGAAGGTTTGTCACCTCTGCAAGTCGTATGATCTTCTTCAATCTCCACGTAACTAGTTCGGTAAAGTTTATGAGGCTTTACGACATGATGGTTTTTGGCAGGCATATGCTGATCACACGCTTTTTGTGTGTCGACGGGGTCCCGATCTCTTGGTTATTCTTATGTATGTTGATGTTATACTTGTCGTAGGTAATGATGGCGAGTGGTGCAAGTCCTTTAAAAAACATCTTCATGATTGTTTTCAATTAAAAGTTTTGGTCGTGTCTCTTATTATACCCATAATTAGGGGTGTTCATCGGTCCAGGACCTGCCCGAACCAGACCGGACTGAAGACCGAAATCAAAAAAATATAGGACCGATGACCGGACCGATTCTCAATCGGTCTTGGACCGGTCCGGACCAAAACCTCTTAGACCGAACCGGAATAGACCGATTAGACCAAAAAAAATTCTTTTCAGTTGAATTTTTTAAATCTTATACAACCAAAATATTTGTTAACAGTTACATTGCTGTTTTTTTAAAGCCATTGTCATTGCTGTATTTTTTTAAACAATTGACATTTAGAGTAATTACCACTCACCAGTCACCAACATCACTCATCACTAATCCAGAGAACTCTCAAGTCTTTTTTTAACAATTGACATTGCTGTTTTTTTTTAAACAATTGACATTGCTGTTTTTTTAAACAATTGATATTGCTGTTTTTTTTTTAACAATTGACAATCAGCCACCTTAGCCAAATTTAAAAGTTTTAAATGATATTTGGAAACAGAATCTAAGAATAATAATACAATTTGGCTTAGCCTTACGAATAACATGGAAATAATTTAACAAGAAAAAAACCTAATAGAGAAGAAGACTATGGATTACAGAGAAGGAGACGAGGGAGAAGAGATGAGTACCAGTACCTGATTTCTTTCGGTCCGGGAGTCGGCTCTGCGAGACGGCGAAGGTGAGACGCCGCAGATTGGGATAGTTGGGACTGCGAGACGGCGAAGGGGAGATGTAGAAGGCGAGACGCCGATCTTGGCTATGGCTGGGAGTCTGTGAACGGCGTAGACTCTCTGCGAATCCCTCTCAGTCTCAAGCTCCGGTGGGCAGTTAGGCCCACTAAATTGGCCAAGTAGGTAAAGAGTTTAGCCCATCAAATTTGGGTCTGGGCCAAGTACTCATGCAAATGGGCTAATAATTTGTATTAAGCTCGGCACAAATCTAGCCCGGATACTTATTTGGACAGGTCTAGTGTGAAGTAATATTCATTATCGCACCAACATAACTATAATGTGGTACTCATTCTAAAACAATGTAGTACTCAATCTAAAATAATGTAGTACTCACTTTCACAAATTTATTCAATACAATTATAAAATTTATCTACAAATAATGTAATGTACATTCTGAAATAAAATAGTACTTATTCTTAAAGAACTTAGGGGGGGTGTATTCAATTGAGAGTTTGAAAGATTTTCTTAGATTTATAGAATCTGGAAGTATTCAATCAGAATTTTAAAAAGTCTATAAAAATCCTAAGGTATTTAATAAGGATTTTCAAAAGTCTTCAAAACTATTGAGGTATTCAATAATAATTTTCCAAAGTCTTTAAAAATTTGGATGTATTCAATATTTTATGGATTTTAATTAATACTCCATTGATTTTGTTGGATTCTCTCTAAAAATTATACTCCGTACTTATGTTTCACTCATCAAAATCTCTGCTTCCAACTAGAGATTTTGATAGATTTCAGAATTACTGGTAAAAATATTAATCGAAACCCATAAAACATCTCCCTTGTAAGTCGTCATCTTCTTTTGAGTTTTCTCCGAATGGGAAGTCGCCGACAACCTGCTCAGTAGAGGGAGCCATTCTGTAAATTAATTTGCCTCCTCAAATTAACAATCCGTCAAAACATTTCACCCTTCTTTTGAGGATTGTACACAATCCATCAAAACATTCTCTGTTAATTGGCCTCTTCAAATTCCATTTAATCTGTCTTCTAATACTCAAGGTTTGAGGAGAATCAGATGCTACAAAAATTATTTCACTCTCTTTTACTTGAGAAATTAAAGAAGGTTGGAATGACAGTGGGCCAGTAATACAAGTTCACAAGTTCAGATCTGAATGTTGTTTATTCAGATCTGGAATGTGGTTCAATCAAATACGGCTTAACAGAGAAAGAGATGAATAAACTTGGAAATAGAAATCCATGTGAAAATCAATAAAAAAATTCCAATCAAGACTATGAAAATCCACATCTATATCTATACTATTCTTAAAAGCATGAGAAATTTTTCCCGCCCAAACGCACCTACGTTGTGAACCGTCTATTAGCATTAGAATCTTGATTCACGGCCATTATTCATCTTTGGAACGTTTCCATGTATAATTGTGCTTAATAATTAATACGGAGTAATGTTTACATGTGTAATGATTAATAATAAATGTGCATATGACGTATTATATTATGTAATTTTTATAATATATCAAGTTTCCGTGTTTAATAATTTTGAAATAGAATGCTCACGTGTTTAATAATTTATAATTGTTAAACGGTTGAATATTTTTATATAAATATATTATTTTTGTTAGGCACGTATCTATATATATTATTTAAAAAGACATGAGTTTTTCCCCGCCCATTCATGAGACTCATATATAGAAAGTGTTGACAACATAAATGGTAGTTTAATTATTTTACCTTAATATTTTCCTTCCATTTTAAGTATGTTTTCATTTTTATTTTTATTTAAATGTTACACCATTTAAGCATTTAAATTAAATAGTAGTAAACCATTGGGGAATTGAAGTATGGAAATAAAATACACTGCCGTTTAAATATTAAAATAAAATTTTAAAATTACAAACTAATAAAGTATAGGTAGGATTAAAATGATTTATTTCAAACAAACTATAAATTAATTATTTATCATTAAAAAATATTGTAATTTACAAGCACAAACACGTAAAAATGGTAAGTTTCTAAAATAGATTAGAAAATAAATATGGTACGCTAAGTAGATGATAACATTTAAGTAAAAGAATAAAATAAAAAACTACAAATTAATATTTATACTATAATTTAAAAAATGGAAACATTTTAAAAATGACAAATTTTCTAATTAGAAAATTAGAAAATAAATAGATATCATATGGTAAGCAATTAACACCATTTAAAAACGAAAATAAAATAAATGGTAAGTTTTCTAAAATAGTTAGGTCAGTGTTATAAAATAAAAGAGAAAATAAAATACTCCCTCCGTCCCCAATTTGATTACAAATTGCGGGTTACTGAGTAAAATTTCTCATTTTTTGAAATCATTTTATTTACAAATTGATATATTAATAAGATATAAAAATTACATATTAAACAACTACGTCAAAAGTACTACAAAACAAGAAGTGATAAGAATATTTTATTTTATCAAAGACTTAATGAAATCACCTACCCGGCGCTGTAGGTACCGAGTTGACCGGAATTATGGTCGTATGTAGTGATTCTGATGTCATAGAATACACTTGAGTCGTGGCAGTAGGTAGTGGCTTTAAGTCTTAAGATAAGAAAGTAGATAATGAAGAATTGGCCTTAGCCTAGAATAGGTTATGAGCTAATGTTGGATATGAGTTAATGAAATGACTTGAAAGTTGTGGTAATGACATGTGCAGGTGGGGAACCAAGGTAAGTGATCTAAAGTATGTTGTTATACCGTAGGTATTTTATCTTATAATTGTGATGTGATATTATTATTGTTGAACTTGTGTGCATGATATTGTATGAAGTTATGAGCTAGTGGGTTCGTCTATGTGCGTAGTCGAAACGTTAGATAGTTCTTAGTTAGCTTCAATGTTGAGCGTGTAATTCTATTTCCTATTTGTTACACGTAGGTAACATGAATGACGAATAAGGAACTATCCTGGAGGGCAGTGAGTGCAGAGAGGTGGATGGATGCTAGGTGGATGGATGCTAGCTGGAGGAGTCTAAGGTTGTATTTCATTAAGTACTTAAAGGCTTCCGCACCATTATGCTGACTCTGTTAGATGTTTAATAATTTTTTTGAAATAAATATTTTTAAATTGTTTTTTAAATTATTGTGTGTGGATACAAATTTTGTAGCAACCCGATCCGCTGATCCTTGTATTCGTGTCACGCGGGTTGGGGTGTTACATTACATGTGTTGTTAGAACTTACATACATAATTTTACAAATCACACAATCATCTCATTTGTCCACCAAACTATCCAAAACCCATGAATTCTCACAAAATAATAAAATGAGAGTAACTTGAGTAATATGGCCTATCCTAGAAACTTTCATGTTAATAATGTAACACAAACATCTATAGTGTTAAACTAGTTAAATTAATACAAACCAACACAAACACCTATAGTGTTAAGACTAACACANATGTTTAATAATTTTTTTGAAATAAATATTTTTAAATTGTTTTTTAAATTATTGTGTGTGGATACAAATTTTGTAGCAACCCGATCCGCTGATCCTTGTATTCGTGTCACGCGGGTTGGGGTGTTACATTACATGTGTTGTTAGAACTTACATACATAATTTTACAAATCACACAATCATCTCATTTGTCCACCAAACTATCCAAAACCCATGAATTCTCACAAAATAATAAAATGAGAGTAACTTGAGTAATATGGCCTATCCTAGAAACTTTCATGTTAATAATGTAACACAAACATCTATAGTGTTAAACTAGTTAAATTAATACAAACCAACACAAACACCTATAGTGTTAAGACTAACACAAACACCTATAGTGTTAAGGCTAAAACATAATGATTCTCCCAATATAGGACCATATATTTTTATTTCCCAATGTAGGACTGTTGGTCATTATCAAGTAGTCATTATTTAAGTAAATGTCCATCATTAGTGAATATTATTCCTCCTACTAGGTCATTATTTTATCTTATTTAGGGAATAAAAAAAATTTAGGTCCTACATTCCAAAAGTCATAAAGTTTTAGAGAATATAAAAAATTTAAATCCTACATTCCAAAAGTCTTTATTTTGTGTTAAGGAAATGTGATTATGCGTATCCCAAATTAATTTTACGGAGTACTTTTTTTTAAACGCGCTACACCCCCTTGTAGTCTTCTTCCTCTCGCCGCCGACCAACATCCTTCAGGTATGCCTTCTTCCTTTTTTCCTCCTTTCTTCCGCATCCCCACTCTCGCCCTTTCTTCTTTTTCCTTCACATACTTTCCAAAGCTTGGAATATAGTTTCGTTTTTCTCTAATTTTTTGGTTGTTTGTGTCTCAATTTCATGTCAAATTTGGGCTTTTTGTTGCATGGATTGTTTGGGTTATGTGGATTCTTTGGCCAATTTGAGTTAAAATTGTGAAACCCCCAAACCTTAGCCCCAAATTTCGAAAATTGACATTATTGCTATGTTTTGATGCTTGAGTGTGCTTCTTGTTGGGTTTGTGTCTACCATTACATTTTTATTTTATCTACTATGGAGTACTAGTCTTCTACTGCCGAGAATGTTAGACGGACCTGCTTGGTACCTCTTGATTTGATTTCTTCATTTTTTGCCTGTATTGTTCTTCTTCGCATCTACTTTCTTCTTTGTATACTGTGAATTTTGTTTTTCTTTACTCAATTTCTATTCTAGACTAAATTGGATGCTTCAGATGGAATTGATAAATTACTATTACAACAATTTGTATTAATAATGGAAACATATTTTTCATTTGTTTAGTATTTACTTACTAGAAGACTCAAAAGGGTGGCATGGTCGAGAAAATTCAAGTCAGTTAAGGAAACAAAAGCAAATCTTAATCTATCCCCCTAGTTCAAATTAATCCTTCGTTGCCTTTTGATTGAGTTCTTGTGCGTTTTCTTCATGTGAACCACAAACGCGAAAGACAGAAAATTCTAAGAACGTATATCTGCAGTCCGTATGCCTTAATTCGTGATATTACACCTTGTAGAGTATTATTGCAGTATTTGTTTTGATGTTATGGACTTTTAGCTGTCATGCTTTTTAGTATCCGCCTTCTTCTCTTTTGACTGTTGTTACTTTCGGGTGGAACCTCTTCCTGACCGCCAGTAAGTACTTATGTTTGTTTACAGATATATACTTTGGCTCTTTTTTATAAGCCTCATAAACACAGTATAGCAACCTTTCTTTTGCTCTCTAATCTACTCTCTCTCTCCATTCTATGACCCTTGCATTCTCCTGTTTTACCTTTTCCTGGCAGCAAAATCTTTTTAGCTTTCGAGTAAAATTAAAAGGCTAAACAATTAGAACAAGATCAGGATAAATGGACCATTCTGAATTTCAAGCCCTTGTTCTTCTTGCTCCTTAATCTATTTCTTCAATAGTCAACCCATATTACCATTATCGTGCTCATTAATGGAGCGAAAGCAAGTTGAAGGACCACCTAATCTTTCTTTCTTTTCCAGTAAAAAGAGGGTATATAGGCCATATCACATGCATTTTTTCTCACATATATGCACATGGAAGAAGATTATCTGTACATTATATTCTATATTCGCCAGCCGAGTTTTGAACAAGAGCTCTCATTTATATGTGTTGGGAAATTGATTAATAATCAAAAGAAAATAAAAAAATAAGGAAGAGGACAAAGAAGAAAAAGAAAATAGAAGAAAGGAACATGCATACGCACTAATGCATGTGGGAGGATGTGTTCTCTCTTAGTGATCCATGATATGGATGCATGTGATGTGTGGAAATTTTTGGCTATAAAGGAGTTCACATTGCCTAGCTATGTGTGTGTGTGGGTTTTACACACCACCAATGTAGAGAGAGAAGCATGGGGGGAATTCTACACAAGAATACCACCGGGAAAATCCAAGGGGTCTTGGTGAGTGTGGGTGAGTGTAGGGACTAACTGATTTTAGTTACTCGGAAAAATACATCCGGGCATAGGATGTGGAAAGATCTGTTTATGATTGTCGGGAATTTAGCCTTGTAAACAGGGGAGAGATTTTTGTATATTGTCCTGAAATAGTGGAAATATAATTTTTTCTCTCATATATTTTTCTTGTGTTTGTTCTCTCATTTGTATGGTGTTCTCAATATTTTTCGGTATCTTACGCGCTTAAAATCCCAACAATATGCACGTGGAAGAAGATTATTGGTAGGCTCACTTATGGTGTCTCTCTTTAAAAATATCGTATNGTCTTGGTGAGTGTGGGTGAGTGTAGGGACTAACTGATTTTAGTTACTCGGAAAAATACATCCGGGCATAGGATGTGGAAAGATCTGTTTATGATTGTCGGGAATTTAGCCTTGTAAACAGGGGAGAGATTTTTGTATATTGTCCTGAAATAGTGGAAATATAATTTTTTCTCTCATATATTTTTCTTGTGTTTGTTCTCTCATTTGTATGGTGTTCTCAATATTTTTCGGTATCTTACGCGCTTAAAATCCCAACAATATGCACGTGGAAGAAGATTATTGGTAGGCTCACTTATGGTGTCTCTCTTTAAAAATATCGTATCGTCTGCCCACCCCTATATGGTATAGGTACTTCACTCTCTTTAGTTTTTAAAGTCACATCACTTATCCTCATAACTTTTCTCACTATTAGTGGTTTTTCATGCTTTTCTATTTTCTATGGTGAGCCTCATATTTCCATCATCTCCAATGGAGCCAAAACTTCATCATTTTTTGGCTTTTGGGTGTGATGGAATAAATCAAAATGGATCTCTAAATTGTCTGCGCTTCTTTAGTTAATGAAGTAGCAGTTAGTCAAGCAATGCAACTATCGACGTTGAGCCGGGGGTCTCTTTGGAAACAGCCTCTCTACTTTCGAGTAGGGGTAAGGTCTGCGTACACACACCCTCCCCAGACCCTACTCTTGTGGGATTTAACTGGGTTGTTGTTGTTGTTGTTGTTGTTGTATGGGATTTATCCACGTAACTTTTAGTATGAAGAATTACGATAATATACTTTTAGGAAGTGACTTAAATTTATGGAAAGTATTATGATTTTTAACAAAAAATATGCTTGCACAAGAAAATAATAATCTGAATAAAAAATATACGTAGTAGTTGTCAAAAAATCTAAATCAGTACGTCATACCTACTTTCCACAACACATTGCCCATAAATAGGTTTAAATTAGCAAATTACGCAGTGCAAAACAATAATGCTTGTTCTGCTGTAGTGCAGGTTAACTGAGAAAATCTGTCAATTCATCCGAGCTCAAACCCCGGCTGTGGAGTCTTTTGACTCATCGTTATTCATTGATATTCATTTTTCATGAGCCACAATAAAAAAAATGTAAAGTCCTGCTAGATAATTTTAAAATTGTGAATATAAATGTTGATTGTTTGGGTTATGTGGATTCTTTGGACAATTTGAGTTAAGATTGTGAAACCCCCAAACCTTAGCACCAAATTTCCAAAAACTGACGTTATTGCTATCTTTTGATGCTTGAGTATGCTTCTTGTTAGTTTTGTGTGTGTGTGGGTGTGGGGGGGGGGTGTTCATCAAATATATGGATGGGGGGGATTTTTGCCAAATTTTTTGAAGAAATGGGGAGTTGAATATACCATTGGTCCTGTTATGACTTGTATGCATTTTTGCAGGAACAATGGCTCCCAAACCAGTGAAAAAGGCCAAGAAGGTGACAACCGGGAGAAAGAAGCGGAATGAAGATGGCTCATCCTCGAGCCAACCACCCCGCTTGACGTCCCGAGACAATGAAACTTGGTGGGAAGAGAGAAAGGAGACCTCTTTCATCATTGAAAAGACCATCGACCCAACCATTGACAATTACTTCAAGCTCTCCAATGCCTTTGCCACGCTTGGATGGGAAAATATGCTTACCCTTACCGGCACCTACTTTCCGGAACTTGTACGTGAGTTTTATGCAAACATCACCGAAAAGTCAAAGAAAAGGTTCTTAGTGAGAAGCTACGTTCGAGGCACGGAGGTGGAGATCGATCTCACCTACCTCCGCGAGTTCCTTGACCTCCGAGACCCATCACATCCCATTCATTACATGATCAACCGCAAGGGTGTGGTTGTCGACGACCGGGGTTACAATATTGAGGAGACAAAGGGGAAATTTGGGGTTCGAGATATGCTCACCCGCTCATTTGGTTTGCGGTGGATTCGGGCGAGGCTCCTCATCTACCTTATCGGCTTCAACATTGTTCCTAGGGCAAGTGGACTAAATGAAATCCGAAACAGCGACTTGTACCTAGTGGACAGGCTGATTTTTGGTTTGCCGCGCATTCAAAAGATCGCCCTTGCACCCATCATCATCAAATGCATACGGGAAGTCGTTGCCTCTTCACGTCGAGACAAGAACTTTGTCTTCCCCGTGCTTTTGTCTCGGATCTTTATAGCACAAGGAGTGAATACGGAGGGAGCCGAACAGAGGTCGACAACACAAAGTGACGTCTTCGACCATAACAAGATGTCTACCCTGCGGTATCAGTTCATTGATGGGGCTTGAAGGGTGAACCCGGATTATCACCGTATGCCCACACCAGACGAGGAGACTATCATATTTCCTGCGGGTTCAAACGGTCGGAGGAAAAATACGTTCCCTTTGCGGGACAATGACGACCCCATGGCGGACCTCGAAACCGGGAGCGAGGAAGACAATGAAGAAGAGGAGGAAGGGAGAGTGGCTCGGCGGCGCCCCAGGCCCAGGCAAAGCTTGAGGACGATGGTGGATGGGCTCGACCAACGCGTCCATACTTTGGAAGAAGGCATGCATGAAGTATTGCACTATATGCGTCGTTGGGCGGCAAACAACAATATCAGCCCACCTCGAAGAGAGAATGACGAAAATCTAGCCTAATCGACACCCATCTTCCTTTAATTGCGTACTAGGCATTATTATGACCTCATTGCATGCAGAGAACATGGAACAACAATACAACATTGCTTTGATTCAACAACATTTGGTTTTCAAAAAAGAAAAGAACTACGCCATTTTCATTCATTCATCCCCTCCCCTAGTACTCTACAAGACAACACCACCTCTTCTCACCCACGTTCTAGAACTCAACAAACTGTATTGAAAATAATTTTAACTGTATTGAACGAACCCTAATTGGCAAAAACACCAGCAGGGCCACAATGTGTATTGAAATTGATTTCTCCAACCCAGTCCCACAGGCCATTCACCTTCGGCTAGGGGCACGAGACTTTAATCTTCCCTTAACCATTGAAAAGCCCCTTTTTTCTGTCATACCTGCAAGCTTTTAGCCCCATTCACCTGCAAGTTTGTTATAAGAAGCCTTCTGCTTTGTTGGATTCCAGTTGTTTGTTCTGTGCCGCCATTGCGCCGCTCTGATTGTACCAAAACAATGACTTTAAGAGCTAGAGGAAAAACAATTTGTGAATTGGCAGATAAAAAAATTAAGGTTTGAGGGCTTTCGTAACGTATTATAAACTAATGAGTACTTTATTCATCATATGTCGGGGGTATTTATACGTACACGGGGAGGAGGTGAAGTTTAAGTAAACAAGATAACCAAATATTCTAAGTAATAAAAGTAATATATATGACATATTTAACAACACCAAAACATTAATAATTTATTTTTCATATCACACATCAAGTAAGTTACATATTGGAAGTCAAAAAAAAGCCACAAAAACAACACCACATGTTGGCATCCTACTAGGGATTGCAGTTTGATACACATAAAATCATCAAAAAAAAAAACAAGAAGATATTCATATTCATATTCGTGTATCATGCTTCCACTTCAAAGGCAACGCCGTGATAAGAACCCTTAGCAGGACAGATGCACTCTCTTTGATAATGAATCTGTATCTCAGGATGCTTCTTCATCACTCCATCATCATCTTCATCATCAACTCCTTCATATCCCCCAACCGTAAAACAAGTCAAATGGAACCCCCACGGTGGATATTTAGTGGGGGTAAAGTTTTGACCTGGATAAAATTCATTTTAGTTCAAATGGTAAAATAAAAGTAGTAATAATAATAATAATATATGTTTCTTTAAAATTTAAGTTTTTAGAAAATCCTAATAAATCTTTAAAAATATTGTACGGAGTATATTACACACAGTTACCAAAATATTATTGCTATTTATCTTTAAAATACAAAATATCTTGTAAATTATAAATTTTCCAAGATGCTAAAATTAAAATAAAAATATTATAGATAAACGGAGACAAAAATAAATTTAAAATATACTTACATTACAAGAAAAAATGACTTAAATTTTATTTTTGTTAAACAATGACTTATGTGTCAAGTACAAAGTTAATCATGTATAAGAAAAGTTATATGTTAATTTAGAAGTCATATGGAATGTCGCATGTACACTAGGAAGCCAAAATAAAACGCCACATGTGCACACTAGCCGAATTCTTAAAATTCCGGCAAGAGGCACCATTTTGTTACATTTTTTAAAGATGACATATATTTTTGTTACAAATTGAAGGTGAGGTACTTTTTTGTTACAAAATTCAAAGTTGGGATATCTTAAGCCGGAATTATAAACTATGAATTAATCCTAATGATAGATATATGAACCACGACTCGTCTTGATCAATTGGACAACTAAAACAAACGAATCCAATCCTCAAATAAGAAGAAACAACACTAGTGGTCACGATTTTGGGCAGCGATCATGAGCAGCCGTGGTACGGGTCTCAAACATCGACTGTATTTGTTACCCAGTGCGGCCCCAGGCCATGAAATATCGGTGTATATAATGCAGGGAAGGGGGTTTGTACTTTCGTGCCTAACGAGTGGGTTCTTAAGTTTCCAATCTTAGTTTTTAATTATTTTTTTATTATATTAGTATATCAAAAATAATTTAAGTTAATCATTCTATTGCAACATCTATTTTGTTCATAATTTTTACGTACAAGTCTAAACTTGGTGAATAATATGTTGTCGGAAATCGTTTCACGAGATCTGTCCAGCGACACCAATGTTGAATATAAAAATTTGACATTGTAACATACTGGTATTCCTATGACAAAAAAGAGGAGTAAAATTTTACTCATCACTCAATAATTGAATATTTTGTAATCCATTAATTAAAATATAATGCCTCGTAAGCTACACCAAAATTGGAAGAAGGTAGACAGTTGTTTATAGTATCAATAATACAACCTTTGGTTCACATGACATTGGAAATCAATGTCAGGAGATGACTCGTGAGCGTTCCAGTGCCCCCGTTCATAAAATTGACGGTTCCTACTCCTCCGATAAATCTCCCCACCTCGCTCCAACCGGAACACACCCCACACCCCTTCAATTGCACCTCACAAGTTAATTTTGACTTTGAAGTCAAATTTTGACTCCAAAGTCAAAATCAACTTGTGTGGTGCAATAGAAAGGGGGTATTTGTCTCAGGGCGGGCTGGGGGGTTTACCAGGGGGGTTAAGGGGGTAAGAACCGTCAATTTTACGAAAGGGTCACCAGAGTGCCCCGAGTCATCCCCTGACACTGATTCCCAATGTCATGGGAACCTTACCCAACATACAATATATTAGCCTATAATATATGAGTATATAACTGTTTTGCTTCTCAAACTCACTTCACCATAAAATATATGCCAAATCTAAATGAACTTTAGCCATGCTCTGCATTCCTTTAGTTTTCTTGACTTGCCTACAGTCCAAAGAATTGTAGAGCACACAAACATTCTCCTTAAGAGCCATCTACAGAGTCTAAAATAAAAGTCAATGGTACACATCTAACATCAGAAAGTAAGAGATAACTGTAAAATACTCCCTCCGTCCCTAAATAAAGTTCCACTTTCGTTTTTTCTTTGTCCCTAAATAAACTTCTCTTTTCCCTTAAAAAACCCCTTTTACCCCTTACTTTTTCATACCCTACCTATCACATCATACCTTTTTACTAATAATCTACCTATCACATCTTACTTTAACACATGGGTATTTTTGGAAAGTCAACACCAAAATATCCCTCTCTTAAATCTTCAAAAAGTCAAAAATAGAACTTTATTTAGGGACGGAGGGAGTAATAAATACTCCGTAATATTTTATTGCTTGAATCAAATAAGTGAGGAATACAAGACATTTAATTATAAGTGAGGGAATATATTCTAGAGTCATCCCCATTAATAGCTTATAATAAAAGTTAATTATATAATAATAACTCTAATTATAATAGGTAACAAGCATAATTATAATATATAATACTCCCTCCGTCCCCAATTTGATTACAAATTGCGGGTTACGGAGTAAAATTTCCTATTTTTTAAAATTATTTTATTTATAAATTGGTATATCAATAAGCTATAAAAATTACTTATTAAAAATTACGTCAAAAGTTCTACAGTACAAAACAAGAGGTGACAAGAATATTTTATTTTATCAAATACTTGATGAAATCACGTAAACAAACAAAAGTTATCGAGAAGAGAGAGAAAAAAAGATTGTAATCTATTTAGGGACGGAGGGAGTATTAAATATATTAAATAATTGATATATTTAACATGCTCCCAACGTCCTAAACAATGAGATTGAACGCCAACTTTAAATTTAATAACGACCAAAATTGTAATTAGAAACTAGAGATATATCTTCGGCTACAGCAGACTGAATGCATCCGGACTATAAGATAAGAAAGATTGCCGGGAAAGAAATGTGTCTGCTTCGAGTAGGATGGGAGAAATGTCCCACTTCAGAACCATATTTTTCCGAGTTCAAAGTCCAAATTCAAGAACAAAGCACGAAAACATTAAGAAAACTGAACACTACTGCAATGAAATTAACAAGTCATTTTTTCTGTTGAGTACCGGGAGCCGAATTCACTAAACCAAACAAGTGGAACGAAGCAAATACTAGTGTTGATAGCTTTAACTAAGTTAATCCCTCAATTTCACACCAGCAATTACAAACTCACCAACATGAATGGGCCTTTCAAGTGCATTTGCAACAGGCAATTTCATTGCTTCTCACTTAGCTTCAGTTTCCCAGGCTTTTACCAAGGCAGCATCAGGCAGTGTCACTATCGCCAAGCTAAGAGTATATTATTCCACTTTGCAAGCATAAAGAGTGGAGAAAGAAATCAGAAAAAAACTGCAGAAACTTTTACTTGCAGAAACTTCTAAAGCGGACAAAACATTTTTTGAAGAAGACTACTTGATTTACATCAATTCAGTTTGCTATAATCCATCTCTCTTATGCCACTAAGAAAAATAATATTCTTCACATGTACTTTGCAACCAAGGTACAACAAATGCAGCAACGATTTATCACCCCTTTGGGCAAATGAATTATAGAAAAATCCCGAATATCTTGCTCCTTAAGGGAGGGATGGCTGGTAATGAATCGCTCAAAACTTGTAGAACAAGAAATGAGCTTCTGTCAATCCTCCTCAGACAAACTGGTTTTCAGCACCAGTACATCCTCCCTCCTCAAATCTTATACTCCCTCCGTCCCATGAAACGTGGGACATTTGCTTTTTAGGAGGGATTTAAGGTAGTGTATTTTGGTATTGAATTTCCAAAAATGTCCTTTGATGTGATGGGTAAAAGTATGATTTGATGGATAGATTATTAGTAAAAAGGTATGATGTGATAGTTAGGGTATGAAAAAGTAAGGGGTAAAAGTGATTTTTTAATAGAAATAAGAAGTGTTTTGTGGGACGGATAAAAAAAGAAAGGGGAAGTGTTTCACGGGACGGAGGGAGTAGCTTGTGACTATCCTTGATTCACCTTTCACGTTATACAACAATTCCTAAACTTATGTCGTAAAGCTTAACCATGTAAAGAGGAGAACTAAAACCCTAGTAAAAATACTGTAAACGGAGAAGGCAAGATTACCTTGCGCTGCTTGCTAAATCTCTCAGTAGAGTAAGTTCCCAGCACTTTCGAACAGTAAAGGACACAATCGCCCTGCGTCATTTAAGGTCTTAGCACCTTATAATGTGTTCCCAACACCTTCAAACAGCGAAGGACATAACTTCCTAGCAC